AGACGGGAGCAGTTCTCTCTGTGCCCAGGATGAGGTGATCCTTTTGTGGGTATTTATAGAGATCTGAGGGGGTGGGATGGGGGTGTGTGGTTGGGGGGTTAGAGGGGTGTGGGATTTGGGTTAACGAGTGGCTGCTTGTTTTGGTGTCCTGTCTGTGCTCTTGCCCTCTGAAGATGCCGGTCACAGATGCTGGCAAAAGGTTAGGAAACAAAACTTCCAGAACACGGCCACACAGCCTGGAAGACCCACACCAGCCATCGTATTCCAGCCGTGAAAGCCTTCGACAATACATATCTCAATTTTGTTTAAATAATGAAACAAATATTTGAACAGAATTACATGCATATGTTATACCCGGTCAGATTCAGAGCTTTGTGAGTTTTTATTGATGCACTTGAATATAAGACATGGCATGAATAGCAAAAACAACTTAGAATGTTTATCAGATATTTAAAAATGCCTATTTTATGGAAAAAAAGTCTACCAGATTATTAGACCAGGGCAGTCTAATAATTCTGGATTCAAAGAAGAAAAGGTGATTTAAAGCATGTTCATGTAGCTCCTGTTGGCATTTTCTTAAACTAAATGTATCTTTTTCATTGATCATACAATCCCAGGAAAAGGTATAACTTTTTTAAGGAGCTGCCAACAGCTGCTAAGTGAAATCATTCCAAATCATCTTCTTAGCTTCAAATCCATTTGGTTGCAAATTAATTTAACGGAATAGCACATTTAAAGACTTTTGCACATTAAATTTGCAATTTTATGAAAAACATATTATTCTCTTTCACAAATCAAATTATATCTAGCAGATTCCATAAAATGTTTACCCAAACCAAACAGTTTTAGTTTATCCCAATATCTAGAAGACAAAATCAAAATTTGAGTTCAGAAAAAAGACGTTTATACCATTAGCTATCCTGCAAACATCTATATCTCTCTTTCATGAAATTATGCTTTGATCCTGGGAAATTATATTATTGGTTGCCAAAATTTTCCTAGCTTAGGAATTAAGAGTACCCTTAGATCTTATTAAACTTCTGGAAGTAAAAATCACACTTTTTGAAATGCTTGAAAATTATGACTTCTGTTTCCTCTTTTACTATCTTATTGTTTCAACTTTACCTGTTTTCCCCATGGTAAAAAGTCTGGTTCTCCCTGTCACAATAAAAATAAAATGTTGCCTGAAAAGTTCACTCTTCTTTTTCAGTAGAGTTGTTTCCTGTAAAGCAGTAATATAACAGATTAGGGGGGATACACATGCGCGCGCGCACACACACACACACAAATAACTGTATGAAATTACTAAGTTATATAAGGAATTGAATTAAAAATAAGAAAACACCTTCACTCTGTTCTCACTCATCTCCCCAAAAACGTGTACACATTTTTTTCAATGTCATATTCTTCAAATTTTAGATTTAGACCACACTGTTAACAGTAAACACTTCTATTGAAGGTTTCCTTTTGTTTATATATACAAGTAGAATAGCATTTGTATTAGGAATTTGTAGTAGTTATAAGTTTAATGCTAGCAGCATATAACACTAAACAGAAATTGATTTATTTGCTTTAGGTTTTTTTTCATTTTAGCACATTGACTTATTTGCTTTAGTTTTTTCACTTTAGCACATATACAATGTTACACTATTTATTTTGACTGACATTATAAAACAGTTGCAGCAATGAAACTGTAAAGTTTTTGTTTTATTTACTGCACGAATATGCCCAAGATAAAAAATTAACTGATCTTAAGTCAGTTAGATCCCTTTTAAGTCTGGTGTTCCACTTAAATAATGTGACCATTTATTGCCCCTGCTTTCCTGAAAAGTGCAACCTTGATAAATGCTTGAAGTTACATATGCCTTTTATCAATATCCAGTTCAGGTCAAGAAACTGATGATTACTAAGGAAAAAAATTCAACAGCATTTGCCATGTGTTTATATGGAATTTGCTGAGATAGATATATGAATACAATAATCCACCACATCTTTTTGTGGTCTTTGTATTTTGGACTAATAGTGCAATTGCACTAATAGTGCAATTCTGCATATGTTACTCAGAAGTTACTGCTGCCAAACTACATATATCTTATTGCTAGGTAAATAGAGTTACAACCTAAATTGATCCAATCGGTATTAACATAGACACTGTCCAAAGGCGTTTAGGAAATTGTCATTAATATTATGACACACTAAAGAAAAAAAAAACAGGAAAAGGAACCTCACAGCCTTTCCAATGAGCTATAAATGAATTTAACCTTGCAACTGGTTTACTTGTATCTTTGAACTGCATAATTACAATTTGTTCATTATCAAATAAGGACAAGCATCCATCAATAAACTATTTTTTATGCACAAGTCTATTACAGCATAACCCTGCCTTTTTAAAAGGTAATCTAGCATATAAGGTGCAGACAACTTGCTGAAACACTGACTAATAAGAAGCATTCAATCAGATACAGTGATTTTTACAGAATTCAAAGTTTCAAATATTTTGTTAAATGGAAAATCCCAATTTCCTGTATTATTTAACTATGGTGTAAGTTATATGTTCATTTAAAACTTTTTGTATAAAAATTGCATATATATGAATACACTAACAAATCCTTGTGCCTAGTCTTATAAAATTGCATAACACATTTAAGAAACTAAAATCTGACCAAATTAATCCTCATAAAATATTTGAGATTTAGCCAGAACAGTTAAAAATATGAAACTTAAAATGTTAATTTATTATACATACTGGAATAATGAAATAAAAATATTTACTCTTCATGATGGTACTAACATATTTTCACACTTATGGATTTTAGGAAAAAAAATCTAAATTTTGAATAACATTTTGATAACCTTTAAAATTCAAGTGCACTGTACACAGATTGTAATAAAAGTCATTACTTCTCCTCAAAAAATGAAATTCCCTAGGATGATTATGTCTGATCAAATCCAGGAATATTTTACACAGGTATAAGAAGGGTAATATATGTATTATATTATTTTATATTACATTTATATTATGTATTTTTAACTTAAAAAGCTCATGTGCAAAGATACTAACAAGAATACAGTAAAAATATAAAAAGAATAAATATAGCACAGATTTCTAAAAAAATTCATTCAAAAAATGAAAATCCATTTAAATAAAAGGAAATAGGAGCTACTGCAAAAATCTGTCGAACTCAAACAGATTTGAAAGCTATCTTACAACCGAAAGGTGATCCAAGTCATCCTCTTTATGAGCAGACAACTTTAAACCACTTGTGTTTATCTTTCTATTGTTGCTGTTCTACCAGCAGCAGATTACACTTGCTCCTGTAATAAAGATTCCAGTTCAGCAGTGATTATATCTCTCTAAGCCACTGAAGTGCTTGCTGGAAAAACATAAAAAGAATTCCAGCATTTCAGACAAATGAGCATCTAGACAGAGACAAGACTGTCAGCTAACAGAGAAACTCCATCCAAAGGAACAGGATGACCAGTAAATATTGCCCATAACCTATTCTGTAGCCTATGAAATTCAACCCACAAATTCGTCCAGA